GGTGGAATAGTTTGGGGGAGAGGAAACCGTAAAGAAACCGGAGGCAGGGTCACTGTGAGGATTAAATGAATCAGCACAATAACTGGAATATTATATACATATTTGTACCTACAGCTAATAATGAGTAAACGTTTACTTATGGGTAAGTAGTCTTCCCCTCCCCCATACCAGGGATTGAGCCCAGGCAGGGCCTTCCCACTAAGCTAAGTCCCCAGTAGATCTTTGTTTGTGTGGTTTTTAAAATTTATTTATTTACTTATTTTTGGTATGGGGGATTGAACTGAGGACTTAGCACTTGCCAGGCAGGTGCTTAAGCGCTGAACTGTCTCCTCAACTCTGTGGTTTTTTTGAGACAGTGTCTCACTATGTGGTTTAGGGTGGCCTTGAACTACGTAATGCAGGCTGGCTCGAACTTGTGACGATCCTCCTGCCTCAGCCACAGAAACGTGCCACCATGCTGGCTCCATCAGCTCACTTTACAAAACTTAAACTTGGGGGCAGGAATACAAACCTGTTTAGTCACTTGGATGGTGAAGCAGACCTGATGTTTGGAGCTGGGCTGTTCCTCTTCAGTCAGGTGTTCTTCCTCACTAAAGCTATTAACTTCTCTTAGCCAATTCAGTTATCCCAAGTTTGTAATTGGCATAAAAATCAAGTTTTTGACCAGTGGGCATCACCAAGGGATTAACTTCAGGCCTAGAAAAGCCCTGCCCCTTTTTGTTCAGGTGATTCTTATTCCAATGTTATTCCCACCACAATCACTTCCCAAGTACCAACACCAGGCTGATCTGATTTTATTCTTCTCTGCCCACTGTCACAACTTTATTTTTTTTCCACAACCTTATTAATAACAGTACATAACATTTAAAAACTTGCTGGGCATGGTGGCACACACTTGAAATCCCAGTATCCAGGAGGTTGAGACAGGAGGATCCCCACAAGTTCAAGGCCAGGCTGGACTACACAGGGACATAATGTCTCAAATACCAAACAAACATGGGGCAAGAAAATGGAGTTTGAAGCCAGTATGAGCTACTAGCGACATACTCTGTATCAAAATAACCAAAACAACAAAAGTGTTTGGTAATTATGTTTGCCCCCCCCCCCCCGGTCTTTTTGAGACAGGGTCTCACAGTGCAGCTCAGGCTTGCCTTCAGCTCACTTTATAATCCAGGCTGGTCTTGAACTCACAACTCTTGAAGCCTCAGCTTCAAATGCTGGGATTATAGGTGTGCACCACTGTGCCTGGCCAGTGTTTTTTTTATTTTTGGTAATGGGAACTGAACTCAGGACCCTGCACTTGACATTATGCCACTGATCTGTATCTCAGCCCTAATAATTTCTTTGTTATTGTTGTTGTTGTTGTTGTTACTGGGAATCAAACTCAGGATGTTGCACTTGTTTGCCTTTAATATTCAAGCAAAGGGTGTATCCAATTCGTGGGTGTTCCCAGTGCCAGACCTAATATACACGGGGAGCTCAAACAGTAGTTTAAAAAAATGTGAACAGAGTGTTGAACATTTGCTATCTTCCACCTGCTCTGATTTAGGATTTATGAAATCTAGCAAGGTTCACTATTCTCAAAAGGCTTAGCCAGGCATGTTGGTGTGCATGTGTAAATCTCTGCACTTGGGAGGCTGAGGCAGAACGACTGCACTGAGTTTGAGGTCATCCTGGGCTACATAGTGAGTTCAAGGCGAGCTTGAACTACAGAGCAAGACTTTGTCTCAATAAATAGAGGTTAAATTCATGGCCATCATCCTGCCCACCAAAGAGGAAGGGTAGTGCATAAAGCATGCAGATGTGAGCTGGGGAGATAGCTCAGTAGAAAAAGCACTTGCCTGGCAAGTGCGGGGTCCTGAGTTCAATCCCCAGTACCACAAAAAACAAAAAAAGCATGCAGTTGCAAGGCATGTGAGAAAACTCACAGCTCTTTCCCAGTTTTCCTTAAGGTTATGGTTCTGGTGACTAGCACAGGGCCCACCAAAGCCTGTGGTTCCCTTTTTGTTTTTAATAACAGCACATGAATACACTTTGGGTGTACTGGGGTTGCCTGAGTGAGTTCTCATTTATACAAAATGAGAAGTGAAAGGTGTAATCACTTTCAGGGCACGTTTTTTATTTTATATCACCATCATCATCATGATTGGAGGTAGTTTCTTGCTGTGTAGTTATCATAACTATTAGAGTCAGTGTCTTGCTGTGTAGTCCAGGCTGGCGTTGGAACACACTGCATAGCCCAAGGTGGTCTCAGATTTGGAGCACTTGTCTTGCCCCAGCCTACTGAGTGTGGAGATTACAGGTCAAACCACTTTGCTCAGCTCACACAATTATCTTCCTCCTGCTTCTTTCAGCAACGTGGTAAGGCAGTGCACTCTGAGACCAGAACTGGGTCCTCAGCGCTGATTTGGTAGCTAAGCTAATCCTGCTGGAGTCTCTGGCTGAATTTAGGTTGTTGGGTTTTTATAGTTTGGGTCTTGCTGGATATGGTGATATACACCTGTGATTCTAGCTCTTGAAGGCTGGACACAAGTTTGAGGTCAGCCTGAACTACATGGTGAGATCCTGTCTCAAAAAAAAAAAAAAAAAAAAACTGAGTTGGGATCTTAAATTTCTCCCAAAGGCTCTATGTTGAAGGCCTGATCACCAACCTGGGTGCTATTTGGAGCAGTGGAACTTTCAGAGGTGAGGCCTAGCTGCCCTTGAAGACGCTGTGACCACCTTGTCTTCCCCTGCTTCTCAGCTGCAGTGAGGTGAACAGCTCTGCTCCACCTCTTGCTGCCTGCCATCACCTGCTGCCATGCCACAGGCCTGAGAGCAACAGGGCCTTCCTACTTTTGTTTCTCAGTTCTTGGATCAAACCCAGGGCCTTGTGCATGCTAGGCAAGTACTCTCATCACTGAGCTATACCCCAGTCCCATTTCTTTTGTTTACCTCAGGTACTTGCCACAGTGACAGAAAGTTAACACAAGAGGTGCTGGTAGGAAAGTCTGGGACCCTACACTAATCTTCCTCACTTTGACAACTCTGATAAGGAGGGGATCAAAGCCTTTTTTTAGCACCAGGACTTGAACTCATAACTCTCCTTTTGCTTGGCAGGTGCTGTTCTGCGAGCTACATCCCTGGCCCTTGGCATCCTTTTCTAAATGGTTTTTCTTTTCATGGTAGACTTCACTGATTGTGTAGGCAGGCGGTGCACAGATGTGTTCAATCCATCTGTCCCTTGGGGGTGTCTGATGTCAGTCGAGTGCCTGTGTGGATGTGAGGCTCCCACGTAAGTCGGTGTGCAGATTCTGCAGAGGACCTAACTCTCATGTCAGAGCGCAGCTCTGTATTTTGTATTGTGCTGTTTGAGTGTGGGTGTGTGGGGTGTTCTGTGTATGTTAAGCATCCTCGTGTGTGATGGTAAGAATACAAAACATCAGACCCCACACGGATGCGAGCATTTCCCTGGAGTCTCTCTCAGCAATCAGACAGTTCATCTCATTGTTTTTTCATTGTTTCGAAACAGGGTATTGCTACGGTAGCATAGGCCACCCTTGCATTCCCAATTTTCCCATGGCCTGAGTGCTGGGATAACAGGCGTGTACCATGGTACCTGCTACCTTATTCTTAAACGTAGTTGTTTATGTTGCTGCTTATCCCTTCTCTAAAAGTTGTAATTAAGTAATTGCAACAATTAAGTACTTTCCCAAATGGACTTCCTACCAAGAATCTCTTCTAGGAGCTAAGGAGGGACTATTATACATGAAGACACATGCATGATGTCACTCAGCCTTCTCAGAATACACGGGGCGCATGCACACTTAATGATTTTTAGTTTTTGGAGGTGGGGGTCTCTATACTATGCAGTCTAGGCTGGCCTTGAACTCACTGTAGCCCAGGATGGCCCTGAAATTGCACCAATCCTGCCTCAGCCTCCCAAGTGCTGGGATTACAGGCAGGTGCCACCATGTCTGACTGGGATCCATACTTATATGACTTACCTGAAGGTACAGTGTTCTTGTCAGGCTTTATAATGCTATGAGCAACAGCTTTATGCTACGCTAGTATTTTTTCTTCTTCTTTAAAATATTAAGAGAACAGGGCTGGGGAAATGGCTCAGTGGAATAAGCACTTCCCTGGCAAGCGCAAGGGCCTGAGTTCAATCCCCAGTTCCACCAAAAAAATAAAAAAATAAAAATAAAAATAAAATAAAATATTAAGAGAACAGGCCAGCAGATTAAAGTGCCCTCGGGGCACACTGAGACATTGATTGAGACTGGGTGTGGTGGTGCACACCTGTAATCCCAGCACTTGGGAGACGAAAAACAGGAAGGACCACTACAAGTCTGATCTGTGAAGTGACCCTGTACTTAATGAAAATAAAATAAAAATAAAAAATATTAAGAGAACAGGTAAGAGTCCCCATTCACAAAGAGTATGGCAGGCCTACAGTACTGGTTTACTTCCAGTATCCTTTCCCTCCTACTTCTGTAGTACAGAAACTCCTGTTAGTTGGCTGAGCACATGACTGCCCAAAATAAAAGCTTAACTTCCCAGGTTTCTTTACTCATGGCTGTGTGACAAACTTCTGGCCAATCAGCTAGCAAGTTCTGAGTTCTACATCTTCCTTAAACACAAAGCTCATTCCTCCCTCTTCTTGCTGGCGGCTAGAGCAGATCAGGTGGGAATCAGGAAGAGAAAATGGAGCCACGAGGCATGAGGAGACTAACCTGTGACACCCAGGGGTCACTGGACTGGCTGTAGGTGACTGCATGAAACTTACTTTTTACATGAAAAAGTAAGCTTTCAACTTGCCGAACTGAATATTATTTTGGGTCTCTTTGTTACAACAGTAAAACCTGATGTTAAGTAGAAATGGACAAAGCACAATCTGCTGTGCCTCCAACTACCATTGACAGGACAAATAACCTGCCCGCCCTCTACTCTGCCCAGGCTTCTACTTCACCTTCATTGACCCAACTCCCCGAACCCTTCTAAAATTACTGAGTCCTCAATGTACTTCCCAGGTTTTTGATGCATTTAATGTATGAGTCTAAAATAAAATAAAATCAATGGCAGGGCAAAGATGAATAAAATTAAAATGGGGTCAGGAGGAGATGGCCATGGGCACACACACTGGGAGGGGCAATGAGCGGCTGAGTTAGGAGCTGGAACAGGGAAGCCTTCCTGGGGCATCACATCTCGTCCAGCCCGTAGTCCTCCTCAGGAAAGTCTCCCACTGTCACAACTGATGGCTTGACGAAGGCGCCGTACTTGGCCTGACATTCGAAGTAGCGTTTCCCATTCACACTGCAGGGCAGGCAGGGGTGCAGCGGTCAGAAGACCCCATCATGACTCCCACTCTATGTGCCCCTGGGCAGGCTCACCCAGCAGCCTACACGCACACATAGGCACGCATAGCTGTGCATGCGCGTACACCCCACTCCCACATCCCGAAGCGGGAACGCTCATTACCTGCCATCGTTTTTCCCTAATGGTTCATCATAGCGGACGCCAATCCAATAACCAGGCTTGAAATCTGTGAGTCCTGCCCAAGGAAGAAATCCCAGTGAAACCTCTGGACACAGCTCACTCCATGTTGGGTGGTACCAGACCACTCCTTGCTGCTCCACTGCTTCCCCCCAGGACCTTTTTCATCTCTTGCTGGCACGAGGATGGTGGCCTCTGGGCTGGTCTCCCTGCTTCCCAGCCCCAACCCCTTAGCACTGCCAGCCAGAGAGGTCACTGTAAAAACCTAAGGAAGATGGTGCTGCCACACTACCAGAGAAGGCCTCAGGGTAAGCCAGACCTGCTGATGGACTGTCCTTGGACCTCCAGCTCCAGAACTGTGAAAAATCAAGTTCTACTGTTTAAGCCACCCTGTGTGGTACTTTGTTAGGGAATCCCTAGCCAAATAATGCACAACTACCATCAAAGAGAAAACCCAATTGGAAAATGGGCAAAAGATCTGAATAGATATTTCTAAAGAAGATGTA